GTGGTGGTGGAGGGGAGTCCCCATTACCTGTAAAGTGCTTTGAGTGGAGTGTCCAGAAAAGCGCTATATAAGTGTGAGCAATTATTATTATTACTACTACAGTTCCTACTGTTAATACTAGTACTACTACTACAGTAATACTGGTAATATTGTTGATGCTAGTGCAGTTCAACTGTTGCTATAAGTATTGCTACTATATGTAGTTTTCCTACACTTACTAAAAGTACTGATATTACAGTATCTACTGTTACTACTAGTACTGTTACTACAGTTCCTGTACAGTTCTTACTTAAAGTATCGCTCCTACAATATCTGCCGTTGCTACTAGTACTGCTACTAGTGCTTATACTATAAATAATGATGATGGTCAAGATGATGAAATTGATAGTGATGATGATGAATATGATGAAGATGGGTGATGTTAATGATACTAGTGGGGATCAGGAACACGATGACAATGAGGATGAATATGATGACGATATTGGTGTTGAAGATTGTGATGATGATGGTGGTGTTGCTGAGATGACGGTGTTCTGGGCTGTAGCAGTACAAAGCCAGGGGCATCGCACACGGAGGAGACTGTGGAATATTTACTCCAGGGCTCCAGCTTGATCTGGCTTGGGATGGCCGGAGACTTCCTGGGCAGGAGTCAGGCGCGCGGCTCCCCCCACGCGGCACGACACGCGGGCGGAACAAGCACCCAGGCACGAGCGCAGGTGAGTCCCTCTCCACGGCCAGTTCATCTTCACATTTGAGAGACGCCCCCTAACACACAGACAATAACACGCACGCAGACCGAGAGGCTAAAGGCGTTTAAAAAAAAATTAAATCATGTTCAGAAGGCATTCATCGCCGCCGCGTTAGGACGGTGAAATGAGAAGCGCATTGGAATTGACCCGCTAATGTGGTTTAGCCCTGTCAGAACACGCGCTGTGCGCGCGGGACGGGCCCGGGCAGGGCGGCGCGGGGGCTCCGAGCCGGATTATTAGTGTTTAAAAGGTGCGGATTCAATTACGACAACAACCGCCGAAGCATTTACATGCCAACAATACCCAGCGCGGGAGAGAGAGTCTGGGCGTCCAGGACTGTGCGAGGCGCACCGGGGAACAATAATTACAGCTGCGCTTGCTGACAGCATTCTCACGTGCTTTAAGACGAGAGAAGAAGTCACAATTCACGAAAAAAGCACAGACACTAAACATCCTCGCCCTTTCTTTTGTAGATCAGTGGTGTTATTGACTCTGACCGGGACGCACAATTTGTAACTATATTGTAATACAGACTAGAGCACAACAAGTTTATTGTGATACAGACTATAGTTCAGGT